TCAGGTTTAATCAGGTTGACAGTCTATTAACATGAAGAGAAAAAGATACTGAACACTTGACGGCTGTAAAAGCCGATGTAGTGCTGTATGAATGTGTGTGAATGTAACTTGTAGTGTCAAACTCGATAAGACTAGAAAAGTGTGATATAAATACAGTTTATTTTTCATTCACTTGATCACCTTTGTGTCTCAGGTTATTCGTCACTGCACCTCGCGGCTTGTTGGGGTCACCTGGAGACAGTGAGGACTCTGCTTGAACTGGAGGCGGACACACAGGCCACAACCTTCAGAGGGGAGAGGCCTTCAGACCTGGCTCGGAGATACTCCAAGGCAGACTGTGTCGACTGTCTCATCCTGGCAGGTGTGGGCCGGTGGCGTTACGCTCTTCTCTTCAGAAACCTTTGATTTGTGAAGATGTATACCTCTGTTAACTTGTGTGTATGTTTATCTTCACACAGAAGCTAAACAGGACCTGGTGTCATATCTAGCCTTCGTTAAGAACATTATTTCAGATTCAGAGAGGAAGATCACAAAAGAAGAGAAGGTAACACATGTCTTTAATTGGGATCAACACTGAAATTAAAGATTATTTATTGGTATAACAATTTTTAACATTTCATAAGTTGTAAATGGCCTGAGTTCAGCTCTGCCTCCCTGCAGGATCGCTGTGATGCTACCTCACAAATTCAGCTTGAACCGTCTGCTCTAAGACTCTTTCTCACGCTGACCAAATAAATATAGTGTAGCTTGTCTTTTCTGACTTCATTAAATATCTCAGGTTTATCGTCATCGTACACTTGACAAAGCTACACAAGGGGAAACAAAATGTCCTTCCACATTGACGCCATGCAAATAGTCAGTGGTGAGAGAGGAGTGAGCATTCAACATATCAAATAATAATAACAAAGTTGTGCTTTTTACTTTCAGTAAAAGTCTAAATATCATTAACTCAAGAGAATCACAATGGGTGACAGATACTGGACCCAATGATGAAACCACAATTGTACCATAGGATGATACAGGAATACAGAAAAACCTGTCTGTCTGTTTATCCATGGTGTCAGTTATTATAAATACACGTGCAGTATTTGTGAGTGGCTCAGGGGGCAGGGAGGTCGAGCGGGTTGTGTATGTTTGTGTGTACAAAGGTTCAGAAGTTCAATCCCAGTGTACACTATATCTTGAGCAAGATACTGCAGGTAGATGCACTTGGTGAATGTGTGAATGGGCAGAACTGTATCACTTCAAGCAAAGTCCTACACAGACTTCTACTTTGACACATTCACAGAAATGTCAGTGTTTTGTTGTCTCTTTTTCTTCACTCTGAGTTGAATGTGTCTCTTCTTTGAATTCCTGAACAGAACATCTGTATGCGCGAATGTTCTGCCAAGTCAGACTGGATTCAGAGTATCAAACACCCAGCAGTGTCAGACTTCATCGCCCAGAGGAAAGACATAGAAGACGCTCTGCAGCCTGTTCTCAGCAGGTTGTCAGGTCAGTCTGAGTCTTAGTACAGTAATGTACAGAATCAGTTTCCTTCCCTAATGTAGCACCTATTAAACTGATCGGACTGTATTTGTGGTAAATGGGTAGGTTCTCCACCAGAATGTGTTCATTTATCAGCTTCTTATCTGGTGAATGATGCTAACTGTAAATGTGTACCACTGAAAAGTGTACACTATGGTCCCTTGGAATGTGTAGTGTCAGACTATCTGTAGGACTTAATCCATCCATCCATTATCCACCAGGTATTCTCTGAGGGTTGTGTTGGGAGCTTGAGCCAAGCAGGACTTTGTTCTATTGTCTATCACTTGTTAAACTCTATTCACATTATTAGACATTATCTTCGTAGTTAACTAGTCCTAAGTCTTTCTGAATAATAACTCCATTAAGTGATTTTTGTCAACTGGTATTCTGTCCTCTATATTCTACACAGTATGCTCTTATGTACACTTTATGTTTAGAATAAATGTTAAAAAACTGAAATGTGTAATTTTGTTGAATCAAATTTAAACGTAACATGAGAATATAAATGAATCTATGAATCTGAGAAAAAAATCTGCTGTTTCTTACCACATCACTTGAAACAAAGACATGAGTGCTCATTGGGGGAAAGTTATGGTTTGGGTGTGAAAGGTCAGGCCTCCGCCCACAAAGCTCGACTGATCGAGGAGCTGTGCCCTTTGTTATGTACTCAACTGTTTGTTAAAGGTTCAGTGTGCAAGATTTAGGTTAAAGAGATCTGTTGGCAGAAAATAATGCAATCTGATTCATGTTTTTCCACTAGTCTGTTTTTTACTAGTGTGTTTCATTTAAAGTTTAGATGAAACACATTTTAGATTTTAGTTTAGATTCTAAACTGTACAAAAAGTTGTTGTCTTTATCCTAGAATGGGCCCTTTATATTTAACTACTGTATATTTACATCTGGTCCTCTCTACAGAGGCCCCATGTTTTTTACAGTAGCCCAAGATGGACAAACTTAAACCTTTTAAAGTTTTTAAGACAACTGAAGGTTTCCAGAGGTTCTCTGTCATGTTTGGAAGGGGAGGGTGAGGTGAGGGGTGTTCAGCTGCAACATAAAACCTCACCACTAGATATCACTACATTCTACACACTGAACCTTCAAGTTAATGTGTTTTTGTTTTCTTTATCTATTCTGCACACATTTGGATCAGTATCTTAAACCAGCCTCAGTTTGTAACTCAATACTAATTGAGTTAATTAAACTCAAACTGACTTAAGAAAAATCTGTTTTTATATTAGTATATCCTATATGTTTGTCCTTTTGAGTCTCACTTTGACAGTAGCATCCAGTCAGTTGGATTACTTAGACTTCCAAGACTATATTATAAGTGCATTATGGGAGGTAAGTGTAGCTGAGCCTGAATACAAACACAACCATGTGAATCAGAGATCATGATGGTGGATCATGATTGACGTGGTGGCAGCTGATCGTGGACTATGATTACAACAAGACTGCTTCATATACAATATGCCTACTCACATATTCTGCCATTGCAGGCAATAATTCCTCAATAGCAATTGTCATTGCTGCTCCCTTCATCTCTATGAGACATTTCCTTTTACTTTACACATTGACACACCTTTCTATTATTTTGTTGAAGCGTTCAGTTACACGCTGCATCTATTGCACTTCTGACTTCCCGTGGAGAGGGATCCCTCACTCTGAGGTTTCTGTTATGGTTTGGATTGTGTTGTTTTCTCCTTTCCCTCCTTTTCTGTTTCCTTGCAGTAGTGTGGCCGGAGGCGTGGCTGGCTTCCTCTGTCTCTGCAGACGAGACACACCTGCAGACTCTCGTTCCACCTAATCTCCCGCTCCATAAAAGCCTGCTCTCCTCACCACACCTGTGCCATGTGATTTCTGCTCACGTGGTACACTCTGTGGCTCCTGTGTTCAAGTTTTGCAAGTTCTTTTCAAATTCAGTTCTCCAGTGTTTGTTTTGCTTGTTTGACATACTGAACCTTTTGTCCTGTGTATTTTGACTGCAGTGAAGGCCTTCCTGTTAACCAGTGTTTCAGTGTTTCCTGCATTCAGCCTTCTGCCATCACCACCTGCCTCTTTTAAGTGTTTTCAGTATAAAGACTGTAACCTGCTGCTGTCTCTGTATTCTGGGTCCCACATAAAACTCAAACGTCTATCAGTTTCTTGTTGAGGATTAACGACAGAGCATGTTGCACCATGCTAAGTCCTATGAAACTAAATGTAATTTGTGAATACGGGCTATACAAATAAAACTTGATTGATTGATTGATTGATTGACAACAGACAGCTGAGGCTGCACCATCGGCCAACTTCAGCCTGCTTACAATGATCTTCCTCCGCCTTAACAAATCTGCTCCATCCACTGCTGTGAGAGGCCTTCTGCTAGAGCCTCACTACAACAGCGGAATCTAAAACTTAACTTTGTCTGTCTGTGATCAGAGTTGATGTCAGAAAGTTGATTGTCCCATAGTTTTTTTGTCGTTCTCTTGTAATTTGGATTTCCACACTTTATTTCACCATGGCCCTAGTGACTCGTTTGTTTAGTCATTCAAATATCATCTTAATGTGCTTAATACAGTCTTAATGTTCTTAAAGACAATCAGTTAAAATAAATGTCCTCTTATTTTAGTTGTAGTTTTACATATCCTTTCAGATCAGAGCCAGAGAACTCTGAACTGAGATCTTACCACTCCTGATTATGAGACTGATTCATTTGATTTATTTTTCTTCTATTGATCGTTGTGCCTCAATTTTGATCAAGAGCAAATTCTAAGAGTTCCGCTACAGGAAGATCTGTGCAATGTCAGTGTTGCTACAAATTGAATTTTGTGGAAAAGGAAATTCAATTGAAGATGTAATGTATGTGTAGATTTAACAAGGTCTTTCATTCTTCAGGATCCATGCACATCAAAAACAAGGAAATCTCAAAATTGCAGCTGATCCCTGGACCAAGCCATTGGATTAAAAATCAGGTCAATAAAGTCAAAAAACCACGAGTCAGTGGTTTCTGATGATTGAACACAAAGTGACTCTGCCAGGAGCGTGTGGCTTTCACAGCTCCACCGCTCAAAGCCTCAACGACAGGGGATTACACCTCATTTCTAAAGTTTTCACGTCCAGATGCAGCAGCACATCATGATCTTTTAAAATCTGCAGTTATGCCTCCTACTTTTTGTGATGTAGAGTAAAAATTGATGCAGTGGAACCAGGGATATCATTTTTAATTCAACATGTTTTTCTTCCTGGGGCGGCTTCGGCTTGTGGTTCGTGGTTCGATCCCAGTCTTCCCCATCTGCATGCTGATGTGACCTCGGGCAAGATACTGATCCCTGAATTGCCCCACATAGGAAAAAGTGCTGCCCATAGATTCACTGTATGAATGTGTATGTGAATTGGTGAATGGCACTAACCTGTAAGGTAAAGAGCTTTGAGTGGTCATCAAAACTAGAAAAGTGCTAAATAAGTACAGACCTCGCACCATTTAAACCCTGGTACGCATGGTCTGACACTGGCTTTTGTTATTTTTGGAGCGATGAATGTTTAACAGACTCGAGCCTATAAATTCAGTCCGAAATGAGGAGCAGGCTGAAGCGGTCTGGTGAGTTCACATCTGAGTCATCAGGATAAATTGACACTGACTCACGTGATATCACCTGAGGCTGTATGTCAGACGTTACACTCTGGAGCCACCAAAGCTTTAGTCCAGAGGTCACCAACGGCACCAGGTAGCCCCCAAGGACCACATGAGTAGCCCGCAGGCCTGTTCTAAAAATAACACAACTTACCAGTGAGCTGTGTCTAAAATTTGATATGCATTTCTAATTAAATGTAATTATTTACTTTTTATGCTGTCAAATTTGTATTCTCATATTGAAGTTGACTATTGACTATGATTTGTTAAAATGGTTTATCAGTGGCTAGTGAAAATGGGACATTTTTCTTATGAAATGTTTTAGAAGTGATCATCTGAAAATTTAAACAATTGCTGAGATTAACAAAGATAAAGTGTTGAATATTGATATTATCTGTTTCCCACCTTGTCAAGTGATCAGTGTCTTCACATAGATGAGTATCATTTATCATTATTAATAATATATAACTAAAGGCAAACTGAGCAAATTTGTTATTTCAGAAGAGTGGATCAAACTGGTAGCCCTTCATATGACTCAGTACCCATGAAGTACTGTAGCTCTCAGTTTCAAAAAGGCTGGTGACCCCTGCTTTAGTCCAAATTTTTTTAGTCCTTCCCCAAAAAACCTGCGGACAGACAAAGTCTAAAATAGGTAGAAAGTTCCCTTTAATCGTTTTGTATTTCAAAATGTCTTTCATGCAGTACACGTGTATTCAAATGTCCATTCAAACAATAGCCGTGCTATTTCAATGTCACTGGGAACAGTTTAATTGTTTATCATTCATTGTTATCAAAGCAAAACCTAAAGAAATCATGCTGAGAGCTGTGGCCAACGTCCTCATCCATCATCAATGTTGTGCAGATTAAAGGCACTCAAATCTTAAACTGAAGCTTGGCACACAAACTCCCGACAGCTCCACCTGTGACACCGAAGCTGCTGACCTCTTTGAATTGAGCCACGTCATCCAGACAGGTCTTTATCTTTCTGACAGCTTCTCCTCCTCCTCCTCATTATCTATCATAATCTTCAGTCGGTGGCAGAACACGTTCTGAGTATTTAACCCTCGACACATATTTGTTTTATATCTATACAAGGTTTTTAACAACACACAGGGTGCTGAGACAAACAGAACATGAAACAAGTCACTCCTATCTTCAAGAAATTGAGATGAGTTTAAATTTCACATGGTTTCACGGCAAAAGTAACACAACCAACTTCATGTCTGAGTTTGTTTTTTAACACAATGGAAATATTTGCTGTACAAGTGCCAGTTTAAACACACAGACACGCAGGACAGACAGTACAAAGACCCACTGTCCTCAGAAAGAGAGGCCGATCGAGCCAGAAGACATTTTCTGTGCTGTGAAAAGTGATCACAACCATGCAAGTACACAATGTACACAGTGTAGAGTCCAGTCTCCAATGGAATATTACGAGCAGGGAGAGATGTGTGACTGGTTGTGATAGCCCACAGTACGTTATTCAGTTAGACAGGAAGCTGGAAACAGAAGAGAGGTTCCATTCCAGATCGTTAAAGACAGTCCTCAACAGGACATTTCACATGTCTCTTCTTGACTGAGATTGTGTGAATGGGACATAGGGAATGGGACCAGTCTGTGGACAGGAAAGACATCGAATAGTCCAACCAAGCACAACAGTTTGTAATGGATATGTGATGGTGGTGGTTTGATAAAATACAACAAATAGAAACTTCATGGGTGTTTTTTAAGTTGTTCTGACTAATTAGACCTCTGCTCAGTAGAAGGCTTCAATAAACACTTTGCCATCATCATCATCATCATCATCATCGTTCTTGCACGCACTCAGCCAGGGAGAGTTAGGGAAACATAATGGGATACCTGAGAATAGATTTTTATCATCCTCAGGTGAAAAGGCAGTAACAGGTGATGGGAAAACTCAATTTGATTCAATCGAATTGAATGTGTTGTGACACAAAAACACTTCCAATGTGTTGCTTGGTGTCACAATGTTTTATGTGGTCTGTCTTGCCTACATCTCTGAAACATGGCAGCAGTGGAGGGAAAGAGCAGACGATAACGTGACACAAATAAACAACACCAACACAAGGATCCATCTCCTCGTCATCACACACTGCTGATATATTATTTTTGACCCACAAACCAAAATGACTAAAACATAAAAGTATTCTCCCAGAGTTGACCCTGCACGGGACTTGCTGTATGTTTCTTTTACCCATCAGATCAAAACTGCAGCAGAAAAGGGGAGAGTAAAGAAGGACATTGTTGTCATCAAACTTTTAATTGTCGTGATTCACTCAAGCTATAAAGTCTGTTTCATGAGCCCAAGAAAAAACCCACATCTCATTCCCAACAACCTGGGATTCATCTTTATTCATTTGTAATAGAAAGTTTTTTGCAGTGAACTGTTTGGTTGTAGTTTAGCAAAATTAGTAACTTGATAAAGTTGGGCTTTGCTATGATATTATCAGTTATCACTTTTTTGCAAACATTTTCTCAGACTCACATTCATGACCTGGTGATGCTGTGATGACAATGGGACTTGATAAAATGATAAGTAACTCATCTTTCAATCCAAAGGGTTTGTTGTATTCAATATTGTGCTCCTCAGTTTAAACTCTTCACATTAGTCATCCTGTTGTCCTCTGACCATGAAGTGAAGGCATTCTGGGATGGCAGCTGTTGTCCAGTGTTCACTGTGTGAGCACGTGAAGAGGAAGATGCTGCATGTATGTACAGTATGTGTGGAGAAGTAGTCAGAGCCAGTCTTCAGTTCCACAGTCCTGCTTAATGGACAGTGACTCCAATCATCTGACGAGTAGATGTTTGCTGACCCACGACGATGACATTGTGAAGAACTGTTTAATGTTTCCAGACCAATCCTAGTTGAAAGAAAAAGGGCTGCCACTTATCACATCCTGGCAGCACAACCACTGGCTCTTGGTTTGTGTGTTTCAGTGCTTCTCAGGGTCCCAGGTGGGTAGTCTCTCCAGGATGGCCTTGTGGTCCACCCCCACGCTGGCCACCAGTCCTCCTTTGTTGAGTGGATCTCCACTGTAGTCAATGTCCTCTCCCTTCAGGGTCGTCATGTGGCCTCCTACAATCACAGTAACCATCTGTTATTAATACGGTGCACTACAGACATTTAAGTCATTACAGAGATGATAGAGACTCATTTATTAAGAATGTAAAAAAACTCATTTGGCAGATGTTTTTATCGAGAGCGACTTACAACTGAAAGACAACGCAAAAGCACAGTAGGAGAGTTTCAGTGATGACTAAATGCTAAATCGGTGCAATAAGATAAAGTACAGGAGATCAGGTAAAAAAGTGTCCCAGTAGGTGCTGGTTGAACATGTTAGGGTGTTAGACGTGTGAGGAGAGAAGCCGAGATGAGTCTTCAAGAGGCTCTATAAGATAGAGAGAGGACGCCCCCTTGCATTTTGCAGTTTACTCCATCATCAAGAAACCAAAACCCTGAACAATCTGGATAGTGAATGACTTGTGTGCAGCAGGGATGTCAGTGTTGGACCAGAAGAAGCATGAAGCCTGTATGACTGAGCTATCAGTGACTTCAGTGTGACTGCACGTCATAGATTATTTTCACATGGCAGCCATTTTCCTCTGACAACACATTGTTATTTGTTAGCTTTGTTATCTTTAAAGTTGGGAGGCTCAAAGATAACAAAGATAACCTGACAAACTATAACTAACCAACTGATCAGAAGCTGAGAAGAGAATGGATAGTCTTGAGAGACATGGGACTGTGCTTCAAGGTTCAACAAATTCTATTTGATAGCTCATCAGCTGCCATTAGACAACAGGTCATGTTAGCATGACATGACATTCTGTCCATAAGTGTGATGTAAGAGACAAATGTCCACTGGGTGAATATGGTCTATGGTTAGCCAGAGGAGGTCAACGAGCAGCAGAGTGATGTTCACTTTAAGACGGGATTATAGATTTGTACTTTTGAAGTATCACTGACACATATTGAGCATGTTTGATTGTGTGTACATGACGTAATTTACCGTATCTTACATCTTAGGTTTCTAAAAAATATCAGCCAATATTTGGCAGGAAACATTTCCTTCATCAGCTCATTGGCAAGAGTGATGAGGTCAGACACAGACACCAACGTTTGAACAGAGCTTATGTTGCCAGTGCTGTCATTGTATTGTGATCATGTCACACCCACACAGTCTTTAAGAAGCAGCTTCTGAGCATCAAACTCTCACTTAACAATTTCTAAAAATCATCAGGAATTTGATTGTTGCTCATTTAGTTAGGAGCATTTAATATTATAGAAGAATAGAACTTAAAACTTAAAATTCTGTTTGTTTCAGTAAACAAAGTGTGTCTATACCAAAATGAGGTTTTTTGTAATCTGAATGAAGAAAACCAGAAATTGGACACCACACAATGGGATATAAGAAGTGTTACAGTACCCAATGTCTTCAGTAGAGCTGCACCAGCACAGATGTCCCATTTCTTAATGAAGGTGATGTGGACGTAAACATCTGCCTGGTCCATAGAGGCCTTTTCTTGTACTGGCATCTCCACGAGTGCCAGAACCTTATATCCTGAGAGAAAGATGACAAATAACAGATCATTAATTGATAAAAATGGCAAATAAACCAAAATAAGAAGAGTGTAACAGATAACCCATTTCAAAATCACACCATAAACATACAGATCTGGCCTCTGTCCTTTGAGACAGAAACATAAAGAAGCATGTCTCGTTATTAACAGACTCCTGTGGTCCACAGTAAAGACTATGTGTATGTTTACTGGGAGAAAAAATGTGTATTTAATGGGATTTAAGCTTCAGCTTTACATGCAATACTTTTTAATGTCACACACTTGAATATATGAAATAATTCTCTGCTCACCTGCTCCACCAGCTTCTGTGATTGTTGTGCTGTTTCCAAAAGCATCATGAATATAACTCTTGACCTTTCCAGAGTGGGAACGTGACACAATCACACTTGGAGGGCTGATGCTATAGGACGAGCGGGGATACATATTAGATCCCTGACCCACAACTGCCCAGGCTGAGGGAGAGATATGACAGACAAAATAAAAATTGTATGGATTAGCCATAATCAGAGTTCATCCATGTAAAGTTCAGATGGTGGATGCATCTTGTTTAACATGCAGAAGTGAAGGTGTGGAAGAACACATGCTTACCAGTGAACCCAGTGAATGGCTGGTGTATGACCCCGACGACTGGTTTACCGTCGACTGCCACACACACCATTGTGGTCACATACTGAACAAGGTTCTCTGTGAGAGAGACGAGCAGGAGTCAGGATCGTAAAGAAAAGGAAAAAAAAGACAGAGAATAACTGAAACTTATTTTAGCAAAGCTCAGTCTGAATACAACCCTTAGAAAGCAGCTTGTCATTCTACTTGTGTAGAATTTTGTGATATCTAGTGTTGAAGTTACATGGTGCAGCTGAACACCCCTCACCTCACCCTCTCCTTCCAAACATGAAAAAGAAACTGTGGTAGCTTCAGTTGTCATAAAAACTCAAAAGGTGTTTAGTTTGTTCAGTCTGGACTAATGTAAAAAACATGGCAGCCTCCGTAGAGAGGGTCCCCTTGATGTAAATATAAAGTATTTAAATATAAAGGAACTTTTCTGGGGTAAAGAGAACTACAATTCATACAATTTAGATGAAATGAACTAGTGAAAACATCATGAGGATTATTCTACATTACATTTCTGCCAATAGTTCCCTTTCACCTAAATCTTACATACTGGACCTTTAAATGTATATATCGAGGAAAATTTATATCGCTGTCGCTTATATCGTTTTATCGAAGAGTCCTAACCCTACACCACCAGTGTGCCCAAATCATTTTTCACATGTATCTATGACTCCTATGAACTTTAACTGTGAACACAAATCTAAACCCAATGTTTCACTTCAACTTGTGTTCAGCTCTCATTCTTATTATAGTTAATTACGAGAAATACCACCTCTCAGTTTGTAACACACAGACCTGTGGAACATTATTGTCTAATATAAAACCTAAAGAGATCACTGAGATGAAGATGTGAGACTCCAGTGACAACACACCTGTATATTCCTGTGTGGCGTCTAGAGGATCGATCCACACTGTGACGCTATCAGGAGAAACTTCCTTGCCTCCGGCTATCTTGTCTAGTATGTCAGCTGGAATGTCCCGGCTCCAGGTTGCTTCCTTATCCACCATGTTGTCATGTTCCTCACTGTTCACCTGAAAACAAACAGACAGAATAATGAGTCCTGTGCCTCAGGCTTATTTTAAACTTTACACAGTGTGAATGCATTGTGTTCTTGTCTTTTCCAGCATGATGTGAACTTCAGAACTGTTTTTTGCTGAAGTCAGAACCACACAGACTTGGAAGCGATTGACTCTTTTGTGGAGGAAATGTTTGGTTGCGGTCGGCTATCGGTGGTTACATCTGTGTGATATTCAAAGGTATTTAATTGGAAACAGGGTGTGACAGAAAAAACAAAAGTGAAACTCAGATAAACACTGGTTCTCCTTGCTGCTTATTCCTAANAAAACATATATATCATATATAAATCTGAGCAGTTCCTCAGAAACAGTGAAGATTGTCTCAAGTTCATCGCAGTGTTCACTTTTTATTTTAGCTCCATTAACATTTGATCTGTAGAATATATCAAGATGAGGAAAATTGATCATTTTGTCCAGTTTCTCACTGTATTTAATGTCGAGACAAATTCTCGACAGGTCACCAATATTCCTCCATGTGTGTTGTTAGAGGTGGACGTGTTGTCCAGTGCTTCAGTGTGGTGTTGGAGGGCTGTGTGTGAACACCCGGTGGATGGTGTCTCACCTGACTTCCTTCTGGGTGAAGAGTCCCACTCTCTCCAGCTGCTCGAGCTCAGGGATCCGCTCCTCGATCCGCTGCTGAACCACCTCCGCCATCTTGTCACGGCTTCAGCTTTGACACGTTACTTCACGATCTTAATGTCGGTGACTCCAACTTCACTGTGGGACAGAAGCGCTGAGGCGACCAGGCTGCTCCTCGGCTCCTCACATGGGTGGAAGTTGTTATTTGAGGCATTTCCGGTTCCGTCTGCTAATGGTTACCGTCGGGAAACACGAGCCGAGCGCGGCTCAGACTGGTTGTGCGGACACATTTTGGATCAAACTGTCGGTGTTAAGATATTTTGTCTGGTTCACACAATTTAAAATGTTTTTTGAGGGTTGAGATTAGTTTTTAGTGTCAGGATTAAATTTAGGTTTAGATGAGAGTGAGGATTGAGGTTTGGTTTTATTGTCAGGATTTAATTCAAGTTCCCTGTTGGCTGTCCACACTGTAAATATATTCTGTATATGTTGTTTTACTTTGTATTATATTTCTTGTGTTCATGATATTTTTCTTACTTATAACTTTATTAATTTTCTACTGGTGTCTTTATTTTAAATTAGGATTTATTATGGTGTATTTCTCAACATCCCAAGATATTTTTTCTTTAATATGGCCCTACTATTTTGCTGCAGTGGAGACATGTTCAAAGTCAAAGTCCAATCTTAGCTTGAAACTGAACTGGAAGAGTTACAAAAAAAAAAGTTATTAAATAAAGTTAATGCTCCTCTGTCAAGTTTGGTGTCCAACTATCAGCTAAGATCGCATTCTGATAAAGACAATGTTAGTGGTGAGTGAGCTTCTGAAAGTTGCTGGAGCAGCTGGGACCAGTGAGTGCTCGTACTCACCGTGACTTCAGGGAAGCTGTTCTTTATGAGGTTATACATCTTCCTGTGGGACTGCAGGTCACCCATGGTCAGCAGCTCACTGGCTCCTTCCTTCGTCTTCCCCTTTGACTTCTCCTTCAGGCCGTTTTCATCACGAATCTTCTTCACCTGGAGAGGGAGAAATGTATCTTAAATGAATCTGATACAGCTCAAGGAGCCAAGATGTAAATAAATGTACAGCTGTGTTTTTTTAGAACCATTCATCAAAGACATAATGGCACTGGCAATCAATGAGTCCAATGCTGAACAGTTGACGGTACATATATTAAAAAAAAAACAACAGCCAATAAAACGCTCTCATTATGTCCAACTTCAGCTCTGTTGCTAGACAACAGCTGTAAGGGCGGGACAAGCTGGTGACACTGATCATGGAAAGCCTCCGTAGACGAGGCTGTCTCATTTCAGTTTGGCCTTCCTGGTCTATGCGGCCTACAGAGACCCCCTCCTTAGACCGGATATTCCACAGGAGGGAGCCCCTGAATTTAGACACAGCTATATTGATTATAATGATTTTGGTATTTAATGATTCCACAACAGTGTAGAATATTGGTTCAGAGGATTGCATAGAAAACAATAGTTTAAATAAAAGTTGATGCAAGTTATGTAATGAGATAGTTTAGTTTAAGTAAGATACCTAGAAAAGCTGTTACAATGAAACAGATAGATCATAAAAAATATATATCTTTGTGACTACTGATACAGGAAAACAAGACAATGCAATAGTTGAGATCCATTGGAACTGACCCTAAATTAAGTGTGTTACCTATAATCAACCAATAATGAGCTGACAAGTTGAGACAGCAAACACGTTCTTATCTTTGTGTGGAAAATATTCATCATTCCTACTTTAATATGAGATGGTTGTAAGAAAAAAAACCTTACAGTGAATCTGTTTAAAATGATGTCACATCCTGTATGTTCTCATGACACTGGGTAAACAAGATTATATGTTTCTACTATTAAATGTATGGGACTAATATGTGAGCATTGATCTGTCAAAGAAACATGGTTTTACCTCTCTGCCACCAAGTACAGCCGCCTCCACTGAGACCGCCAGCAGGTCCCTCAGATCTACGTTTCTCTTCTGTCTGCAGAGGAACAGAACAAAGCAGCTTTTACTTTTACTGAGCCTGATGACACTGATATCAGTGTAGGACTGTAAGGACACTTCACCAGTAGTTTGGAAAAGGACCTCATATGTTTGTGCCGATATTCAGCTTCTAACAATCATACTATTGACATGTCGGTCAATTTTCTCATTTTCAGCAGTTCAAAAGAATTTGGCAGCTGTGACTTTTGATCATTATTTAATGAACGATGAATCTTCATGACGAGGTGCTGGGGATATTTCAAATGTTTGAGTTTCTAGAGAAAAAGGAAAAACTCAAGGGGTTGTTCTTAAGGCATTTCAAGAATTGTCAACAACATTACTAAAATCTTCAACATCAATTTAAACAAATATATTTAAATCTGCTCCTCAGTTTGTGGCAATAGTTCCTAATTAAGATATTGTATTTTAGAAAGAAGTACAAGCATTTGTGGCTTGAAGGGGATGGTATTAGGTTCAAGACCTCCGGCTGCAGAAATAATGACAGTTTACAACACGGGCCAGGAAATATTGGATTTACACCTAAAGACCAAAGTCAGCCTGATGTACAAACTGATATAATGATGAATGACCCTGTATGATGTATGAGCCACCACTAAAACCTGAACATCTGCAAGTGTAACAGATCATCACATGCTTACAGCTGTTACAACACACACGAGGCTGAACACTATCTGCAACACAGAGGAGATACTGTAGACTGTAGTCAGGACATCATATATTCAACTGTTGGACTAACTTCACAGTAGAGGCGATCAGCAGGACTGTGACGTGTCCGGATCGTGTACATTACAGCTGTTGCGTCCTGACTAGGGGATATAACACGTAGAGAAACCAGACAGGAGGCTGACCTGAAAGCAGCCAGGCGGCTGGAGATGACCCCGGCGTACAGGTGATAGATGACACCGAATCCTATCAGGAGAAACACCCCCACACCGAGCGGGGACAGCCGGATACCCATCGGGGCCATGGCTCCAGAGAGGCACCCCTCCGAAGTTTGAACACCGGAGACCCAGAGACACGCGTCCAGAGGAGCTGAGCGTGCAGCGGGAGGAAGATGTTGGCTAGGTTGACGTGTCACAGGCTAACGGAGCGAACACGGCTAACATCTGCTTTACGCCAGCAGGTGGGTTTCACACAGAGGAGCAGACTGTCATGAGGAGGAGACACACACACACACACACACACACACTAACACACAGTGTCAAACACAAACACACGGGACAATAAGCTGGAGTCGAGCCGCTTAGCTTCGTCCGTCGTCCTCCTCCGCTGACAGTGGCGTCATGTCTGCAGTAACATTCCGCTCCGGGGAGTGTGGCTGCTCCTGGTGTCCCTGTTCACGGTCACAGTCGCGTGTTCGCAGGTAGAGATGAAGAACAAGCCCTCCTCTGTTCACTCATCTCTCCTCCTCACGTACACAGCGGAGGTCACAGCCGCACCGCTTCACTTCCGGGTCAACGTCCCTGTACGCGCGTGCTGACGTCACACGCTTGACTTAATGCGTGTATGTCTTGTTTTTAATTTTTGATTCATTCGAAGTGATATTTATTTATCTCCATGACTGTTTATTTGATTCTACTCTCACTTTCTGTCAGTTATTGAATGATATGAAAGTTTTTTCAATTCAAATGAAAAAATATATTATTCAGTTCAACCAAAACAACAAAACTGTAGCTTCCTATACATTAGGAAACCATGTAACAAGAAGTAAGACATTCTTGTAATGTTTCAATATAATGACTGATGTCTATGTTGAATTTCAGTCAGCCTTTTTGGTCCAGTTGTATTTGTGAATGTTGTATTTCCCATACAGAATGAAAGGATTCCAAATAAACTGTATTTTACATTATCAATGTCATTCCTATCAGAAGAGAATATGATGAATCGTTGCTCTAGAACAGTGGTGTCAAACTCAATCACAGAGAGGGACAAAATTAAAAACTGGCACTACATTGACGGCCAAACAGGGTCAACATTTATTTAACAGGATAGACAGGATATTGGATAAAGTGCAAAAAGAAAAAGTATTTAGGTCTTTTATGTACATGTGCCAGAGCCAGATGTTTGGCCTCTTTTCTTGGCTGCCAGTTCATTAATGTTTGGGGTTAGGTTCTGTGCTGTGGAAAGCCTCAAGATGGAGTGAAGGTGTGCATCAGTGAGACGACTCCTGTGTGGTGTTTTTGTTCATCTTCATCACAGAGAAAAGCATGTGGGGGAACTTGACGAGGCAGAGACAGCAGCACACAGGCACTGGGATCTCTGGAACACTGGAAAAGTAATTTACTAACCCCAAATACTCAGCAGGTGAGGAGGGGCGCTCGCTCTGTGTGCATCTAGCCGGGCATTGCGTGTCACTATACAGGGCTCAGCCTATGGAGCCCGTGCACGCCGTCTGGCTCCCACTTGGGGAGTGAGATTAGGGCTCGCTCCATGAGCGTCTAGTTGAGCGTTGCGCACCAGCGGGCCAGTTAAGATAGACATGATATTGTACCAGAGGCCAGAAGTGGCCTGCAGGCCTTGAGTTTGACATCTCTGCTCTAAAACAATGATTGAAACAATACATTCCTAAAATGATATTCTATATTTAAGCAAAATAATTGAATGCATTGGGCATCAAAAAGAACTTTGTATAGTTTTGTTGTTGCAAAAAACACATCTCTGAATCTAAGAAGCAACTGGTTTACAGGAGATATCAATTGTATAATTTTGAATTTTAATAGACTTTCCCCAGAAATTTGTCACATTTTAAGTTTAAATGCTGATGCTTCTATTCACTGAAGATTGAGTAAGGAGTAATGAAGTGTTCTTTGTATCATGTGGTGAATTAACATCTGACTCAGTGACTGGGACACAATAGCAAAATGAGAAAATATCTTTTCCATTATTTTGGATGCAACTTTTTTCAAAAATATACAATGTCTGTAAAAACATGACTAAAAATCATATCTGTGAATATCTTGGACACACAGTACTGTCAGTGACAATACCCTCCAGTTTGAAACTCAAATTGTAACCCAAAACACTACAGGTCTGCAGAGTTTTTCCAGAGCTTTATTCTTTTCAAAATAGAACAAGCTCTGAAACTTTAAAACACATGATATTAAAGTAATACGAAGTACACAGCTCTGTAGAGTCATTCGAGTTACAGCTCTGCCTTTTCAAGAGAGAGCTATACCATTGATCATTTTTAATTGACACAACTCTCCATTAAGGAAAAATCTCTCCTCACAAAGATGCATTGATAATACGAGGTGTTGTTTTGAGAGCAAACACCACCACAGTGTTTTCCATTATCAGGGAGAGCTGCTATAATCTGCTGAACTCTTTGTGGTTAGATTTCCGGACTGAATGCTGTGGCTGTTTCCATGTTCTCTTCTATTTCAAAGTAACAACACTGAGATTCAGCCACAACATCACCTCCTCCTCATCTTCTCTCCTCCTCCTCATCTTCTCTCCTCCTCCTCAGCTTCTTCTGGATGACCGAGTCTGTCATTGACTCCTTGTCATCATCCGCTATCCTCTGCTGTCATAGAGATCGCCCCTTCCTCTGACATCTCATCATGCCTTCCCTCTTAATCTCCTCACTTCCCCTCTTCTTCTCCTCCTCCTCTTCCGCCTCGCTCTGTTGGCCATTTGATGGAGATGTGGTAAGACTTCAGCTCCTCCTCAGATACAAAGTCAGGGGCGCGGCTCATGATGTCATGACCCCGGTAGGACTTGGGGAAAGCAATGACATCACGGATGCTGGGAGCTCTGACCATGATGGAGACCAGTCGGTCCAAACCTAGGACAGCATAGAGTTATCAGCAAACAGAAATAAAAAATCATCGTATCATATCAATATGTTTGCTGACAGATATAGCGAAAGTAAACTATCATATGGAAATGTTTTACTGGCTCCTTGTGTCACTGTGTTAAGTAACCCTGGGCTGGTCCTTGGTCCCCCGCCCCTGTGGTGGCAGTGACAACAGGTCCCCGCTCGAACTTACTTTATAAATTCAATTCCAACAATAATATACGTTTCTATTTTTTATTGAGTTAGCCTTACCCAAAGCAATGCCTCCATGTGGGGGCGCTCCCGAGTCCAGAGCCTCCAGAAGGTGAGAGAGGAGACTGGGATCCTCCTAGAACAGACACATGAGAAAAGTAATTATGAGCGACAATTTAATAAACCCTTAGACTGTATATAAACATGGACGATTTGTCTCCACTTCTTAAAGGTCCAGTGTGTAAGATTTAGGTGGAAGAGATCTATTGGCAGAAATTTAATGTAGAATAATCCTCATGATGTTTTCACTAGTTCATTTAATCTAAATTGTATGAATTGTAGTTTTCTTTACCTCTGAAAAGGCCCTTTATATTTAAATACTTTATATTTACATCGGGGGGACCCTCTCTTCCACAGTTTATTTTTCATGTTTGGAAGGAGAGGGTGAGGTGAGGGGTGTTCAGCTTGGTGGCTTCACTTTCAGGGAGCTGTCATGTCATCCATCTTTATATACAGTCTATGATCAACCCAGTCCCTGAGGGAGACTGACCAGTGACAACATAAAGTACCTTGAGGATGTTCTTCAGCACGTGCAGCTGCTCTGAGGCTTTGTGGATACGGATGGATCCTCCTCCGATCTCACAGCCGTTCAGCACCAGGTCATAGTGCTGCCCACGAACCTAAAGTGAAGTTACACACATTAGACTTTCACATCACAAGATGGATAATTATTTTTATATATCCTCAAAAAAATGTTATTAAAAAAGGGAATTAAAGGATCTCCATGGCAACCTTGTGAGGTTCAGTGTAGAGTAGCTCTGCATGCTCGGGCAGTGGAGCGGTAAATGGATGATGGGCTGACTCCAGTTGCTCTGGCTCATCCTCTTTAGGCAGGAAGAGAGGGAAGTCCACAACCCACAGGAAGTGGAAGGCTGACAGATCTCGTAGTGAAACGCCGTGAGATTCCAGGAGCTCTGCAGACTGCAGACGAAGACTGCCAAGCAACGTGCGCTGAGAGCAGAGCACAGGCGTAGGAAGGTAACAGGAGAGAGGAACGGTAGGGACATAAAATCATCTTACAGTCAGGTTGATCCGTCTTTGTTTATCTGTCCCCTCATCAGTCTAACAGCATAAGTTTGGTGTCAGTGTTTCTCTTACCACGGTGTGCAGGGAGCCGGCTGCCATCAGCAGCAAGTCTCCAGGTTTGGCTCCGGTCCTGCTCAGCAGCTCCTCTGTGGAGGAGACAGACAGCAGCTTTTTCAGAGGAGACTTTAGTGTTCCATCTGCTCTGACCAGCACCACACTCAGCTCCTTGAGACAGAACACACATGAACAAAAAAACATATTATTGTCTTATTGTCACCTGTAAAATTCATAAAGCTTTGCAAGAAATTCCTGTGATGCTTCTAAAGTATTCAATCAATTCAATTTCATTTGTACAGCGCCAAATCATAATATACATTATCTCAAGGCACTTTACATAGAAGGTCAGGACCTTAAAATCTAAATATAAAGAAACCCAACAGTTCCCACAATGAGCAAGCACTTTGGCGACTGTGGAGAGGAAAAACTCTCTCCCCAAGTACTGTTCCTGTTCAGGCTGTATCAGAGGATTTCACGACTGCATGTTTCACAGGACTGAACTGCTGTAGCTCTGCATCACACTCTCATGTACATCAAGATGTTAGTTGTACTTACATGTTAGCAGATTGGTCAGACACATGAGTTCAGACTGAAATACCTCAACATCTACTTAAGAGAGGCCATTTCTCACATCAATATTTAATTCATCCAATACTTTGGTTTACGATCAGATACCTGTGAATCTCATCACATCCCCATCAACCCAGATGTACTTTGTCTTGATGCAAATGAGCAAATGTTAGCATATTCCCATGCTAGGGGATCATGGCTAACGTTACACCTGCTAAAATCTGCATGTTAAGATTGTCAATGTCTATGCCAACATTAGCATTCAGCTAAAATGGACTCCTACGTCTTGTTTAATTGCAGAACACTGGACTACATCACTGGTAATGTATGTACTAGTACACACAAGCAAACACAATGTGAAACTGTGCTTGTTTGGTCCAATTCAATTATAGCCTTTTTAATTTATTCCCTCCCCGACACAACAGGAGAGACAAGACAGACCCTATATAAAAGATGAAGGGCAGTCTATTGTGCAAGAGCATGGGGGAGGGATTTGGTGTTTAGAAACCAAAAAATGGTAAATAATTAAAAAGAAATGTTAAATGATAAGGATAACAAAATAAAAAGAATAGTGAAAGACAAACATTTATTTAAATGTTCAATTATGATAACTTGTGTCCATATTTGTTTTAATTCATGATTTTATTTCCTGTATCCACTCTTAAATTCTTCCTTTTTTAAAGTACAGCATTAGTCCAAAACAACGAGACAAACTGAAAACTACAATTTTTTTATTATATGTAGATGACTGAAAGAATTTAATAATCTCATCGCTATCAAGTGTATTTTATCACAATTATATATTGAGGCAACAACAAAAACATAGAAGTTGTGAGTTCACAGTGACCTTGACCTTTGTTCTCCAAATTCTAATCACGTCATCCTCGAGTCCAAGTAAATGCTGTTGCAAAATTTGGAGACATTTTCAATAGCTGTCACTTGTGTGTCAGTTTTCATGCCGTCACACAAGTGACAGCTCTAACATTTACAACTTACAAGACGATACAAGATGGGAAAGTGATGGTAGAGATAAAGGAGAAAGGGAAGTCTACCTGCCCAAATTGAGTCTTGGCTGTTTGTTTCAGTTCCTCCAACTCTTTCCCAGTGAAAAGTTTCTGTTGGAAAACACAAAGAAAATCATCAGGTTTATTATGTGATGTTGTTATTATGTTCGCTCTTTCAGTAGTCATGTCTCTCTACAATATCCAAAGATTTTGCTGCCGTAGGAGGCAACATTTCTCTTCTTACCGCTCCACTGGGGACACAGATGGCCTGAACGGAGCCTCCTGGATCACTCAGAGCTGATCTGAGGAATTCAATTTCCGTGGATAAGAAAACCTCACTGAGGTTGGTCAGCTGGACAGAAAGACAAGAAGAGACGGGAATTCAGACAGAGAGACTTATCAATTTATTTTATTTAACATATCCCACATTTCGTGTGGTCTGGCAGGACCTAACAGACATGATCAGGAATCAGGAGAGGTGTTAGTTTGAGTTAGGGTTAGTAATGGATGACCGGCAAGTTCTCTCCTTGTGTTGAGCCATGAAGAGATAAAGATAGCACTCACTGGGTTTTTAGAATCAATGTCAAATAATGATTCTCCAACTAAACATGCAATTACATGTAAGGAGGCAAAGGAGCTGTAGAAACTTTGCTGTTCAGACTTTCAACATATCCAATCTGGTTTTCAGCCTTAATTAACAATTAATGAATGAAGCCAATTACTGTTTAAGCTGCATTTGAACTAAATCTCTTTTATTCTGAGGATTATCATCTGAGTGCATTTAAATTATTATTCAAACACCCCACCTTAACCACCAAGGATTATTTTGTGTTATTTAAATATTTGTAAATGTTATTAAGCTGCAGTGTGTGATACTGTGAAGTTAGTTTGAATTAAAAACAAAAGGAATGGAAATATAGAAATAAATATTTTAAAGAAGCATAACAAGGTTTTTTTGGAGTGGCAGCAACACAAAATTCAAGATTCAATTCACCTTCATTCTCTTCCCCTGCAAAAGGCTCAGTCTTTTTTAGAACTCATGAGAGCAGAAGACATGATCTGATATCCATTCATTCATTTAGGGGGGATTGAAGAAACAAAAACACAACAGAAAACCCACCTTCATACTGAATCTAGCATCAGGTTTGTCCACACCATAGTCCCTCATGGCCTCCTCATACGTCATGGTTTGGAAAGGAATCTTAAGTGGACCATTCTCTTCAGGCCAGGAGAACTTTAATAATCCCTCCACCAGAGACATGATACCTGCCTGGTCCACAAAAGACATCTCTATGTCCACCTGGGAGACAAGATCAGAAGATTAACCAATCTGATCACAACTACGTTTTAAGACCAAGACTGTGTATTTTAATGTGGTCTAGCAGTTAGGATTATTTACCCAGGTGGCTCGGAAAAAAACTCTTCAAATAATCTCTCTGATAGAAAAATGCTGAATTCTTAGACCAAATTTGAATATTTCAGCACCAAGTGATCGCACAGGCATACGTTTATACAATAAAGTATTTTCATGCAGCGTGTGAGTGCATTTTGTCCCTGCCTGTGTCTTACCTGGGTGAACTCTGGCTGCCGGTCTGGTTTGGAGCCCTCATCTCTGTAGCACCTCGCCATTTGGAAGTACCTGCCACAGTGACATCAGGGGAGAAAGGTCTGCATGTTGCATTAAAGCATCAAAACACTGACCCTGTCGCAGGTGAAGATAAAAACGGCCAGAATGAGGAAACTGTGAACAAACATTTCAACATTTCAAGACAAACATGCTGCACTGGGCTGAGCTGAGATAAAATGCACCTCCCTTGGACTTATACAATACTTTATACATCGCATTGTTCCATCATTTGAGTCTGCTATACAGCACAGAGTTCTCACTATCACTGGAATTATGCTTCTGCAGAGAAGTTTGAGAATGTCACAGAGGAAACAGATGTTAAATGTGTTGCCAGAAGTTTTTTCACATTGTGGGTCGTTAAACTTAAACATTTTACACCACAGAGTAAAGAAGAAACACACCACAGTCTGTCCAATGACAGCTACGTTTGCTTACATGCAGCATAGATATTCTCAGCAGCTGTACTCCTCATATAAAGAGGAAGTTTGATGGATGTACACTGTAAGTATGTAGGTTCTACCACAACCAAAATCACCTTAAATCACCAGAGGAAAAGCAAACTAACAAGAAGGATGCTTGGCTACTTGTGTTTGATGTGCATGTGACGCACAGGCGTGGATGTTTGTCTTTGTGTTGAGGTCCAAACCTATGCAATAACCTCCAGTGTTGTTCTGCTCCAGTCTGTACCCACCTGTCGACACCGGCCACCATCAGAAGCTGTTTAAACTGCTGTGGACTCTGAGGGAGGGAGAAGAACCTGCCCGGTTCTCTGGAAGGAACCACAAACTCCTTGGCTCCCTGGAACACAAAGGAACATACAACATCTGGACCTCAGCAAAACACAATGTTTTTTTTGTGTAGAGAAAAGTGACACATTAAAACTTTTGTGGTAGGTAACTCGTCATCGCTGTCGTTTTTGTAGGTTCCCACTGAAAATTGTTGTAAATGAGACTTTGAATTCTTGTGATTGAAATCATCACCAGATAAATGGAACTTCTTACCCCTGGTGTTCTTTTGAACAAGGTCGGAGTTTCCACATCAACAAAACCTACAAAAGAAATACATACATAGTTAAAATCAGGACTGATAGTTGGAATGGACTGCATTTCTTCAATTCGCACAAAGCCCCGTGACCGACAGGTTATGGTAGGTGGTGACTAAACAGTGTTGCTGCTCACATCCGGTTAATGCGTTTCAGGTGATCTGACACCACTGGACAATAAGAACATCGGTTCACACCTGACATTAGAACATGTGTCATGTGATTAGACACACATACGCCATTTCTGTTCACAAAATCCACATGATGTTGTTTTTTGCTTGCAGAAGGCAGCAGTGCACTTTCCATACTTAGTCTACAGGGAGTGAAAAGAAGAAATTCCTTTTGCAGGCAACAACATCAACCAAGATATTTGACACACACTTAGCAAACATCATGGACAAAGCCCACATACACTTATAAATTAAATCAGAGTATATACTCTGAGTATCTACTCTGTCTTACGCAGAGGACGTCCGTTTAGAAGAGGGTCCTTCAATGTGGCCCACTTGCACTAATCACACTATTAGAAGAATGTGGTCCCATACATCCAACCATCACTACTGACCGTGGTCTGAGTCAGTAACAGTGTTAAAAAGACTAAGCGAGCAGAGAGAATAAATCTTAGTCTCCATACCGTGCACATTACAGAGGTATTCTCTCATCTTCATCACCAGCTGAGATCTCAGTCTGAGGTTCCTCTGCATCTGAGAGGACCTCAGGTCCAGGTAGCGATACTGCATCCGCAGAGACTCGGATTTCTGTACGATCAAAAACACAAAAAAAGAGAATCCCTCATGATAATCAACAATAATAAATTCCATTACTTGCTCTGAGTATTTGTAAAACTGTGCACATGCATGTGAAGTGAGCCACTTACTTTAACAAAGTCTTTAATCTCAAAAGGCAGCTGACGGCACACATTAAAAACCTCCACGTTCTCAGCGAGGACTTCTATTTCTCCTGTTGGCATCGCCTGTTGGTGTGAACACAGCAGCAAGAGACTGAGCTCCAAGTGATTCATGACTTGTTTGAATGAATGCTCTGCTAACAAAATGTTCATTACAGATCAAATGATATATATCCACATGGAATAGATAATGTGAGACTTTGAAAACCTCATGTCCTGCAATAATCAAATATTCAACAGACTCCCCCTCAATCCCATGGTTTTCTATAGTTTAGTGCTGAATGTCATCATAAGAATAAGAGGGGCTGCTTTAATCACACACACACGCACACACTCAAAAATATATACACACACACACACACCTTGTTCTCCTGTCCTGCTGGTCGTCCTCTGACGGTTCCTGTTACCTTGATGACAGACTCAGTTGTGAGATCGTGCAGCACTGCTTTCAAATGTCCTGCAGACTTAAACAGAGAAAAACTGGTTGCATTTCTGTTATTTATACAACATATATTTTCTATTATTATTATATTATATACAGTATATTCCTATTTTATCTTTGTTGGAAATAGTTTAAAATGGTCATTATCTTTGTTATATGACTATTATTAAGAGTTTTGTTCATTCTTACCGCTTCTTGAGGAATTAAAATTTGCGTTAATCCACTGAAATCTCTCAAGATGACAAACAGGTCTTGTCTGTCGGAGGCAGAAACAAATTGTGTCAACACAACTGAGCGTGAGACCTCATGGTAGTCACTCTCAGTCTTAAAGGCTTCTCCAACCGTGCCTGCTAACATGGTAAACGTTGGTAACATGGTAAATGCTATACTTGTGTAATATCAGTGTGTTAGCATCATCACTGAATTGGTCATATACACACTCACTGCCATGGTTTCATGTCTACCATAGATCTCATTACACACTTTGTAATTGTGTTAAGATCAGTATCAGTGATACCTGAGGTACTGGACCCAACCACACAGAGTGACTGTGTCTCCGACATGATGTGACCTCAGCTCTCCACAGCTGTGACTCCTGAACGACAAACTGCTGGGGCCTGACAACACAACAGTTGGGACAGATTCAACTTGCAGAAACACACAAGATGTGCATGTTGGTGCAGGGTAACGTACAGCATCATTACCAATGTGAGCCCCTCTGCAAACTGGACTCATACAAGTAAACAAGAAAACCATGAGAGGGGGGTAAAACCAGGGGTTAGGCCACAAAGACTGCATTGCTGTTTGCACTTAGTGATGTTTTCACTGGTGTGTTTCCTTTAAATTGTACAAATTGTGGTTTTCTTTACCCTAGAATGGATTCTTTATATTAAAATACTATATTTTACATTCTGAGTGGGTCCTCTCCATGTTTTTTACAGTTGTCCAGACTGGACAAACTAAACATCTGTTAAGTTTGAAGGCTAACACAGGTTCTCTCTCATGTTTGGAAGGTGAGGGTGAGGGGTGTTTAGCTACAACATGCAACTTCTACACTAGTTGTCACTAAATTCTACACACTGAGCCTTTAAACATTTACACAAAGTTAAATTCATCAAGTCAAATGTGTCTTTGTAGCTCCTGCTGTTGTCAGTAAAACCAAACAGAATATTCCCCCATCTGCTGCAGGTGCTAATTCACAGACCCTGTCATGAGTGGTGACACAGTTCTCCTGCAGATCTATTTCAACTGACCTACATCTTATAACAACACAACTGTCCCATCAGTTCAGTGCAGGAGATGTTCATGAATATCACAGGGGCAGTTTTCACATCTTTAGTGCAGTGGAAGTGAATGCACCGCTGACGTGCACATGATTCAAACCTCGTGTGAGAGCAGTGCACGGGCAGTGACAGTACCTGTGGAGGGAGGCTCCGCCCTGCAGAGCGCGGGGGAGCAGCTCAGCTGTCTGACAGGAGCTCGTCCTTGACTCGAGGTCGAAGCGGAGCCGAGACACCGCACACCGTGAGCTCTGCGAGGGAGCCCGCTCAACAAGCTCCTCGCCGCACACAGGCTTCTCGCTGTCATCGTGAGGTGCAGCTGGAGACTGTCCTCACACTCGGAGGAGAGCTCACTGTGGTGATGTCATGATTCTTCACGACTGATGTCACACGAACACGCCGGATGATAAACCTCGGTCTGTTTTATAAAAACCTCCGCCCGCTCGTTATTTATTTCTGTTTCCGCAGTTTAGTTCGACTTGTCCCACGATCTGTAGCTCATGTGGATCCGCTCTCCTGTAGAATCTCACTCGGCTCTATGCGCATCTACTCATGTGGGAGGCTGTGAAATACGTCATCGAAAATGGACCGTCACGCTGTTAAGACTAAAGTACTCGATCTGCAACATAATCGATTCAGGCACTACAGTTGATTATTGAAGAAAAAAACTCAATTAGCAAACAACTAGCTAAAAATGAACTGAATTAACTGGATCATCGTGGGAAGTATAAAGGTAATGACATGCTGTTAAGATTTTTTCTGTGACAAAGTTTCTAGTAGTCTAAATAAGCAATAGAAATAGGGAATGGATGCTGTTTTATTACGATGGACTTGAACTAAATAAACCAAAGATGTATTAAAACAATCAGTGTATTATTATTATTATTATTAGTATTATTATTATCTGTGGCAGTAATAGTAGTATTGGGCTAGTGATATTGTATTGCATACATTTGTATTTGGCATATTTGCATTTAAGCTAAATTTCATGTACATCTGTGTTTCTGAAAGTTGAATCCATCGGTTTCAATTTGAAATGAAATACTAGGTCAACTTCACAGGCTGTATATAAAAACTCCTTTGGATTGGATTGAACAGGTCCGGCAGTGATCACGCCATGTGTCAGGATCCTTTAGAATGATGACTCTAGTTTTCCAGTCATCTGATTGGTCAGTTGTGCTGTTAACAGGTTTTGATCCTATGTCTCAAACCTAAACTGCTACATTTATCACGGTGAATTAACCTGGTTAGAAGTGAAACAGCTTCATAACACTGAAAAACTCAGGAAGCCACAGAAGGCAGAGGTTTAGATACTCTGAAAACAGGTTCTTTGAGTAGGTTGTGGGGATCTGATGTGAATCATTTAATTTAATTTCTGAACCTTTATGTAGACAAAGTGATTCCTTCCTTGGTAACATTAGAGCACATTTGCCAGAGATGGTGAAGCACAGGAACAAATAGTGAAAAGTGGTGCTCGTAGTTATCAAACAAGAGCATTATCATGTGGATCTGCTGCTGGATCCCTCTATAGTTACAGAGCTTTCTCGTCACTGTGGTGCCAGTTGAGAACCAAGCTTTACATAGTCCACACTCCTTGTCAGTGTGGACTTATCTAATAAACCAATTCCTTGTTCGTCTCAAAGAAACCAATGTTTTGAGATACCATCTTCATTCAATTATACAATTCAGTACGGATTCTAATTTAATCATCAGACCCCAAAATATTTTCAAGCTGTGAGTTGTGAAATGAGAGTAAGGAATTAGACAGCTGATATAAAATAGTGAGACTCATTGATGCAAAGATTAATACTTTGCATCCATCAAAAGTCTACACACCAGTGCCAGGTTGATGTGATGTAAAAATAATGAGGCAAGATAAATTATGTTAGAACTTTCCCCACCTTTAACGTGAATTATAAAATGTACAATACAATCGAAAACCAAACTGAAATCTTTTAGGTGGAAACAAATAGAAAAGAATGATAATGTGGTTCAGTTGCTGCTCGACGAGTTTTTTCTCTAAACAGTTTGGTTTCTCTATGATTTGTAAGGTCTCGACCCTAATATGTAAAGTGCCTTGAGATATTGCATATTATGATTTGGCGCTACACAAATAACATTTTATTGAATTGAATTGTTTGCATAAGTGTGCACACCCTCTTATAATTGGGGATTTGACTGTGTTCAGAATTAACCAATCACAATCAAACTCATGTTACATAGCATGAGTACATAGTTCTGACCTGCCATCAATTAAAGTGACTCTGAGTCACCTCATTGTTTAAAGGTATCAGTCAGGAGAAGGGTACAACAGAATTTCCAATTAATTATATTCCATGGAACACAGTGAAGACAGTCACATTTTGTGAGAGTTCAGTGAAACAGCAATGATGTAAAGGGGGGTAATTAGGTTAAATGAGCTATATTCAAGCCTCATTTGTGAACCTGACATCTGTTCCTCTCAGGTGACAGTCAGCTCTACTGAGCATGCTCCATACACAGCCAGGTAACCTTAGCTACGCACACTCATATACACACAGTAGCTGCTACACCACTGTAGCAGTCAGTGATGAAGCTGTGAGTTTGAATCCCCTGACAACAACAGATAGTCCAGCAGAGCTACAGTTCATTCATATGGATTCATATGTGAGTGGAGCGTACCATGTCCTCAGCAGGGGTGGACCTTTGGTTTCTCAACAACAGGTTAGCAACTTATAATGGCTGAATCCAAAATACCATTTAAAAACCATTTTTTGCTTGTATTAGGAGGAAGCAGGTGTTTAGGAGAGTTCTCCATGGAGGCCGAGCAACATCTTTCTTTGCATTGGAATGCACTACTCCTGATGCATATGCCAATCTACCTAAACTTGATTTTAAAAGTTATTGTTAAATTGCTGAATATTTTTAAATTTGAATTTAATTGTATCATCACAAGTTTGGAGGTGATCCAGTCATGAGTGAATCTGATTCACAGGATGATGGAAAATATAGACCAAAGATTTAAAATACTAGTTGCTAAGTTTCTGTCATTTAAAGGCAGGTATAGTGAACATGAAGTGTGTTTATCAGAGCTTTTCATCTGAAAGAGCTGATCATGATTTTATATTGATGAGACATAGCCATTCAACCGTACACTCATAGGTTGATTATTGAACAAGCAAACCAGGCAATGCCGGACGAGGCATTTGGTTTTTACTTGCAAAATATCCCTGAAGAAACACAAACACACAGTACTACAAAAATATGCATAATGACCATTAGCAGACTGGAAGCAGCTATAAAAACAGATGCAGAACAACTGTAAAGTGGCACAAATTGACCACATAAAGACATAATGACCACAAGGGGACAAAATATGTGCAAGTGACACAGTCAGTCTTACTGCTTTTATATAGCAGGAGTGGGGGTCTTTTATATTTCTGTACCCAGCAACCATTTCATAAGTTATGTGCTTAACCAAAGCAATGAGTTTTGATTCAGTGGTATTTCCAAATTTGATAAAAATATAATCATTATTACTTAATATCAAGATTAAATACAATATAAAATGGTTTGTATTTATATAGCACTTTTGTAGTCTTGATGACCACTCAAAGTGCTGTACAGTTTTGCCATTCACCAATTCATACAGTGCCTCTATGGGCAGCATTTTTTTTCTGTTAGGGGCCATTCAGGGTTCAGATGGGGAAGACTAGGATCGAGACTCCGCTCTACCCCCCTCAGCCACATCCAAACATAGATTCACACATAATACTTCCCTTTGAGGTGAAACTGCAAGTGTCAGGATATAACTTCCTCTATTGGTCATGTTCACTGTCTGTTCAGCCACTTTATTCTGTTGATAAAATACATTACTGTTCACTTCACCAGAGAGGACGGTACACTAGAGCGAAGTCCATTAGATGAAGAGCTTTAGCAGAAACATGATAGGCCTCATTCAACCACAGTGTGTGGCTTTTATCCATCAGTGTCCTGTGGACAACCTGAATCTCCTCTGATGATACCACACACAAACACACACACATACACACACACTTACAGTATTAACTTCTTATATACATTTGAATTGTTTTAAATGTATAGGCCTGGTAGAGGAGGAGGACGATGACAGTGATGAAGCTCTGCTGGGTCACAGCCCTATGGAAGAGATGCTACCTCATCACCATGTTGCCTCTGCTGTAACACAATATGACCTGTAAGTAAAATATTCTGGAATCAAAATCAATGATTTGCAATGCAGTTATTCCAGATTGACTGTCACACTGTGGATTAATCTATTTACCACACCAGCAACAGAATATATATGTTTTTTCAATATATCACTATCATGTAGTTTTATTTTGATGTTGCTGCTGTCAGTCATCAGAGCCTTGCTTGTGTCCCCTTTCCCATCATGCCCTGCTTCTTCCGTGGTATCCTCTGAGGATAATATCATCTGTCATAGATTGGCTCATATTATATGTAACACATTTACTGCACATGCACACTCCATAACTGAAGATTGTGTGTGTGTGTGTGTGTGAATGCATGTACATTTGTATTTATGTTTTCAGGTGGAAGAAAACATGCAAATTAAACAATTTGAATAATTGCATACTTTAAGTAAAAGTTTGACAAGTTTATAGAGAGCAGCAAGAAATGTCTTGAGAGGTAATTTCGTCATTATTGCCTACACTGTACAAGTTTATTTCAACATTGTGTAATTTGCTTCATAATTGAACTGGAGATGATTAAAACTGTAGATCTTATCCTTGCTGCCTCTTCGACCCTCTGTAGCAATCGTATGATTGTGTGTGTGAGAGCCGATGACCCAGCTGTAACCACGATGCTGGAGCTGATTGAGGCAGACTGTGTCCGCTCCAATGAGGACATCGCAGTGTGATGTCACGACCGGAAGCTCGAGATCTGGCCATCACTGCAGTCATCTGCTTTGTTGGTGAGAATGATACACAACGCAATTTAAGAAAAATGGTTTCACATTTAAGTTTGGATGTGATATGTCATTAGGGAACATGACAATATGCTTGAATACCCTGCTCACACAAACTTCTTATAATAAATTGCAAAATTAAAAAGAGTTCAAGGTCATAGTTAGTCTCTTCTCTGGATAACATTAGTTATTCATAGTTTACAATAAGCATCAGATGCCAACGGTAAAAATAATCCTTATTAGTTTACAAAGCTACTTTAATTATGTAATAATTATGTAACAGATATCTGTGATTATACATTATATAGTATATTTCATTCATATACAGAACTATGCATCTACACCAGTTGTTTGGGTAGTTTTGCAGTGGTTTTCTGATGATAATGAAATACTGGTTATTTACTGGAAACACTAGAGAACAAACATATACTGTGCTATGTTAATTTCACTTTATCACCTTGATTCACTGGTTAAAGCCAAAGACTGCAATAACTAATATAAACCAACTGTATCAAAAAACTTCACTCAGACCAGTTTAATAAAAACTACATATAATCATATTTGGGAAAATTTGTATCATTTTTGTTTGGTACATGTCCCAACTAGTCACATGGGAGGAGCAGGATTTATGATCCAGGCTTTGCTGTATTCCGCCACTAGGGAGTGATCAAGACATTTTAGCCTCACTTTTAATGAGTTGTTGTTTTACTTGTGTAGTGAACATACATTATCACAAGGCACTTTTCATAGTCAGGTCAAAACCTTAACAATTTTAGAAAAACCCAACAATTCCCACAATAAGCAAACACTGTGGCATCTGTGGAGAGAAAACAACTCCCTCATTAACTGGAAGAACCCTCTAGCAGAACCAGACTCATTGTTATCCACCTCAATCGAATCAATTTGTATGTAACGAATAGTAAAATTGTGAAAATGAATGTAAATACCCATGAGATACCCCAATTAAACCCCCTCCTCTGTTTCTGTGCTTCAGGTGGAGTTGGCTTGACTCTGCTTGTAGTCCTGATTTACTATCAAGTGTCTCGCAAGAAGAAACTGAAAGAAAGTAAAAGACAGGAGGAGGAAGAGGAGGGAAGCACCTCAGTGATCAGCAACCATGTCAACCACGTGGATGTTAGTGAGAAGAGGAGGGATGTGTTCATGCAAAACAGTAGCAATCAAACATTGGACAGGAAAGCCATGATGTTAGAAAACCACGGTGGCCACTTTCGGTCCAGAGTGGATGAGGATGGCAGCCATGTCAGGTGCCTGGACTGCACCAACGGACAGAGGGGTGTGTGGCCAAATCACATGAGATGGAACAATGGGACAAACAGAGAGATGAAGGCGGAGGAGGACAGAGAGAAGACGAGAATGAGGATGATGATGACAGAGGAGGAGAGGAGAAACCCTGGGACTCAGCAGGGAATCCTGAGCCGGGACATTCCTGACAAACTTCTTTCTCTTGACAACTCCAACTCTTTCTCTCATCCATGGAGAGAAGCCTTCAGTGAGAGGCCTGAGACCCTGACAGCTTATAAAACAGACAGAAACATGGACATCCACAGGACTGATGTGGAAGGAAGGAGTAATGAGACTTTACACTGTGAGAGCTGTCACAGGACCTACAGACCACCAGAGCACAGTATGAGACCGGGTAGGATTCACAGCAACATGAGAGACTCTCTTCTGTTTGATGGCTTCCCTCCACAACACAGACCGATTGACGTGGGTAGGAACTACAACCAGTTTGACATGATGAAAAACACAGATTTCAGAAGAGAATCAAGACACGTAACGTTTGATCTGGAGCAAGGCGAGGACAGGAGGGAGAGGGGGAGGAGCTCCAGAGACAAAGAGAAAGGAAGAAAAAGGAGACAGAAAGTTAAAAACCAATCCCCTCGAAAACTAAAGGTTAAAGTCAACTTGAGCCCTCTACGAAAAAGCAAAGTCCATCCAACGAGGAAAAATGAGCAAGGCCATTTGGACAAGAGCAGCTCCAAGAAAAGCAAAGAGAAAAGACAGGATGGAAAAGAAAAAGAAGGAGAGGAAGGGAGGTCAAAGTCAGGCAGGAAAACAAAAGGGAGCAGCGAGAAGATAAAGAAATCCACCAAGAGTACAGGCTTGTCTGAGGAAGAGAAGGAAACCAAAGAGGACGGAGAAGGAAAGAGCAAAACTACCTCTCAACAGAAAAAGACGGAAGATACAGCAGCTGACAAGAAGGAGAATACAAACCCTGATAACCCCCAACCCACTGATACCACCAGTACTGCTGAGCAGTCGGCCTCTGCAAGTACTATTGGACAGGGTCAGAACTTGCAGGGTGGGAGTATTCAGTATCAAGAAGCTGGATTACTTCTGAGAAATGCTCCGATTTCCTCCCAGCATCCCTTTTCCCTATCTGCTGCTGACAGGAATCGTACTGCCAACCTTTCTCTGCTGGGCTCAGCTGACTCACATCTGACTGGCAGCAGCCTCTCTCTTCAAGGAGGGAATATTCTACTCAACACCATGGCCCCAGGATCTAATGCACTGTTCCCCAGTGGACAAGCTAATTCTGTTGCTCCAATCATTGGGCCAAGCTCAGCTTCCAGTGCTGGAAACAGCTTTAACAGGCAAACTGGGGCCGGCCTCATGTCTCCAGCTACTTCTCTTCTGGCTAACTATGTACATGCTAACACTTTGCCGGCTAGTGTCTTACAAAACATTCCTCTTCATAACTCCCAAGCTGGAGGACTTTCCACAAACATAACAAATCCATCTGTAAATCCTGTGCCCAGACAGGCTCCATCTCAGAGCCGGCTGCCTCCAGACAGCTCTCCTCTTGTAGCTAGACTACAGAACGATCCCGCCCAGGGACCAGGCCCTCAGACTGTGGAGGGACCACATCAACTGCCCCTGGAAACTCAAGCAGCCCAGACTAAGGAGAGCCTCCCTGTCCAGGCCCAGGCACCTCCAAGTACAGATGGCTTTTCTGGGGTAACCCCTCAGGCACCGGGATCAGAGACCCATGTGGAGCGATTGTCAGATAATACTGGTCGGACAGGGACTGAGCATGTTCCTGGTGGGACTACAGTCAAAATGTTAGCTGGGGGTGTGTCTCTACCTGGAGGAGCAGCAGTGGGAGTGTCTGGAGACAGCATGGAGCCAGCTAATGTGTCTGTATCAGGTGTCTGTGTGCCTGGTATATCTACACAGAGCGGCTCCTTTACAGGTGCTGAAGGAGCTGCTGCACTGCTGCAGCAGGAGTATGTGTCAGAGGAGGGAGGCTCCTCCCCGAGGAGGAAGCTGAGGCTGGTGCTCCCTGAGAAGACATCCAGCCGACCCCCCACTGCACTGGAGAGGAAAATACGCTAACCACTCACACCGCATTACAAATATTGTATAGCTGTTCACTCTTATGTACACTTTATTCAGAATCAGAATAAAAACAACTCTAATGATCCCTGCAGGATAATGACTCAGCACAACACAAAGTCAGGTAATGGATTCATATGTAAAAAAGTAAAAGCCGCTATAAAATAGTAATAAGAATAAATAGCCTATATAATAAGTACAAACAAAAATATGCAGAGCTGAGTTCGGAATCTCACAGTAACCAGTTGGATGATGTCACATGCTGCTGCTATGTAAACCAACATGGTGCGGACATATTATGGGCATAGCTATCGGTTTAATCTGCTGCTGTAGGAGCTGCAGTATCTGAGTGCTAAATAAGTGCTATGGTCCTGTGTTATGTTTGGAGACATGAAGAAGTGCTTCATAAAGTAACTGATCAGTTCTGGGTCCAGTCTCTGGGCTCAGGCTCAGGCGTGGGTTCAGGATCAGTGTGAGTTCTGATACAGACAGGATGTCTGAACTGTTCAGGAAAGAAACTGCTTTTACACTTAGTGTGTAAAATGTGTTAAAATCACCAATTTTAGCCATTTGAAGTTAAAACTAAACTATAGTGGACAGAACGTGAGGGGGTCTGAGTTTTTTCTGAAGGCATTGAATTTTATCAAAAGTTTTAACAAAAGGTCATAAAGTGATATATCATAAAGTAATATTGTATACTGTTGTTGACTGCGCTCTGAAAGTGATGTTGTATACTGCAAGATAATGTAATTTGTAATTTTCAGGTGTTTGATGTGGTTCTACTTTTATATTTTCTATAATAAACACTGAGTATAAATCCTTGATGTTATTTTTTTATGTAAGCTTGTCCTCAGTGTCCCACAGGTCCAGTGTGAAGGATGTGTGGGAATATATGTATGATATTCATAATTGGTGAAACATTTCATTAGCTTAGAATGAGCCCTTTGTTTCTACATCAGGAGCAATAAGGCCACTGTAGGTTATTATACTCTCTTGTGAGACAAGGGGTATTCAATTGGTAACCTTGTTACTAGATTTCACTAAATACTATACACTTAAAGGTCCAGTGTGTAAGATTTAGGTGAAAGGGAATTGGCAGAAAGTGTATGTAGAATAATGCTCATGTGTGGATTGTGTTCTGTGTGTGCTCCGTTTACATGGATGGGTTAAATACAGAGGTCAAATTTCCCCATGTTTGCATGTTGCATGCTGTGTGTGGGACCATAAAGAGGAATCTTAATCTTCATCTCAATCTTAATGTTTTCACTAGTCCGTTTCCTCTAAATTGTATGAATTGTAGTTTTCTTTACCCCAGAAAAGGCCCTTTATATTTAAATACTTTATTAATTGGTAGTGAAGCTTCCTCTCCTTTAAATTAAAAAATATATTTTATGTAAAAAAAAAAAATGTATCTGTGTGTGCAGTGGTGCGAAACAACATGACAACAGAATGTTGAACTACTTTCTTTAACCAGCTTCATTTACAGGATAGATACATGTTTTATTTGTTTATGTTTTCAGGAGCATATTGAAACAGTTTGTATGAGGAGAAAAGGGAATTGAGCTTACAACTGAATATTCATTTTAATTAATAAGACTGGTTGTTGCTGTGGTCATTAATGACAGGAGGGCGCACCCATTCAAACACTGTAATGCCTTACTTCTAACAGCTGAGGGCAGCATCGTTACATATTCATCACTTTGTCCATCACTGGAGCTTTGCAAGTTGAATTTATGAAGAAAATATATTTAACAAAAAAATATATTTTTTAAATTGCTCAGATTGAAATATTTCTTAAGTTCATACGCAACTCTCTTTCTTATCAAACTACAATGCAAAAATAAAAGTAAACAAGTATTCGCAAAAAAGGGTTCAGATTGAGCCTGTCAATTAATTTAAAGAATAACTACCAACAATTTTCAAGTCTTCAAGCCAATTGGGTCAGTTTAGATGTCATTTAGATGTGACTTAGATGAGATCAAGGAGAAAGGCCCAAATAAACAACAAGGCTTATGGGAAATGTGGGTTTTTTATAGTTTTTATACAAAGTAAACCATTAAATTGACACATGGTGTACTGCAACACCTTCGTCCTTTATCCTGGTAGGGTACTGCCTCATACATATTAACATACAGGAGAATGTGCACAATTAACTCTGTGTAATTGTCTGCGTGTGACAGCTGAATGAAGCAGTCTATGGACAGCAGCCGAGCAGAGGATATCTGACTTATTACTGTAGATTTGTCAAAGTAGGTTAAACAGCGAACATCAGCCAGCGTCAACCTGACACCAAACAGCCACACCCTGATAAATCTTCCAGTTTATCTTCAAATATTTGAACAAGCCTCAGCTTCATTTGTTTTAAATAATAAGCTAATAAAAATAAGCTGATCCTACACACTACTAAGGATTAGACTGGGGTCATTCTGTAGGCCTATGAAAGTCATTCCATGAAAAGACTGAACCAACAATGTGTTAGTTGTCTTGCAATACTTTCTGACTTCTTGACCACAAGGAATGACGCGATAGATAACAACTTAGTAATGTGTTTGTTAGTCAAGCAGAAGGAAAGGGAGAATTTGGAAGGGAATACTTAATTGAATCCACATTTTGCACTCCAGTGGTACATTTTTGTCACACTTTGAGTGATAATAGTGCTCTGTCACTATGGAATAAATAGGATTGTCAGCTCTGGATGCACTGACAAATTTGTTAGCATTATTTCCTAGTATAAGTCTGCATGTGGGATTTGTCCTTCGGCGGGTACTGACTGAAGTTCACAAAAGGTCACTCTCTCCTTTGGTAACATGCAGGAATCCAAACTTCGGTGATTTAGTGAGTCAGTGTTGTAGTTTATTGAGCTTTACAATCAGTTCTTAGTCAGTTCTCACTGTTTATTTCACCTCATTGTACCAGACACAGTACCTTTAAGACACACGCACACACACCACAGCAGCGCTCGTAAACCTCCCCACCTCCTAAAACAATATGAAGCGAGCGATGACGAGTGTTCCACCTGATCTTATGGGAGGCTCTGAATACAAACAGCAAAGACCATTGTTCTGTATAAAAGCTGTTAATAGTCAACATTAACTGTAATTTAGGCAATTTTTAATTAAAAAACAATTTCTTCATATTATTCATTTGACAATGAAAGGACATTAAATCA